CAGCAACCTCGGACCAGCAAAGTCTACAACAAAATGTACAACTGCAACAGCGACGGCAACCTCATCAGCAACAACAAAAGGTCGACTCCAGCCCTTCTGCCATGGGCTCGAAGGCATCTGAGCCGGTGCCATTAGCGAAAATCCCACGGACGCGCCGGCGCACCTTGCCTTCCATTATGACTGAACCTCCAGTCAAACCCCTCTCGAGTGGCCCCGGGCAAGCAAGATCGGGTACTCCGGGCGTCAGGGCTGCCACAATGCATCCTTCAATTTCTCCGTCTCGTACAACTTCCCCTGGCTGGAGGGCGACTGGTGTTGTGCCCCTGGGAAGCCCGAGGAGTACCAGAGAGGAAACGGTGCACAGTACAGATAATCTACCCGCTCGCGCAGCCTCCACTTACATCATTGAAAACGGCATTCGGAAACGAGTTCAAGCAGATGGTGGCTACCGACAGGGTCGACTAGCAGCACTTGTCCCGGCAAGCGAAATGGCTGGCCCTGGAGACAAGAGCTTAGGATCGAAAGGGTAAGTAGAGTAAGGTGTACCACAATATTATAATATTGAAGGCCTACTAGTGGAAGAATTTATGCATCGGTGATGAAGGCGGAATTTTGAAGAAACAATGATCTGAAAATACATATTAGAAATGTGCAGTTAGCACGACTGAAGATAGGCAAGACGATGCATTTAGGAGAAAATTTTTTCAATAAGTTTGTTTAAAATTTTGGATATAACTTGGTTCTTAATTTCATAACCATAAAGTTGAATGCATTCTCTATTGAATCCAAATGAATGCAATTTATAGTGATAAAATGTTATAATTCTTAATCATATATATACATGCAGTACAATATATTTAGGCTTATGAAAAAATGAAGTACTGAAGCCCTGTCTCAACAAAAATTTAAGGTAGAAATTCTAGGTTTGGCAGAGACATATGCCCATTAGTGTATTATCCAACATGCAAATGTTTATCTAGAGCCATAAAACATAATTTGACGACCAATATACGATAGTATGCCTAGATGTAGCCTGACCTCATTTTCTCAACTTGGTAGCGCTGTCAGGGGTACTTAGTTGGACAAACCTTTTTCGAAGTCCCCTGCTAAATTTGAAGTTAACGCAATTCTCAGACTCTGACAGTGGACTTGGTACATTCCCAGACGTTTCGCCTGCATCGTACTCGGCATCGTCAGTGGGTCTTACCAGTCTCAGCACCTAGCTACAACTCGCCAAAGAGACAAGTGAAGTCAATCCCTTGAACAACTTTCCACCGAAACAGTTTTGCTATCAACCCTCTTTCTATCCTGGCCCCTCTCGTCTTACCACAACTTCTGACATTTTTATATTCCACTCTTCAAGAGATGTGTCCTTTTGGCAAGTTCACCGTGGCATCATCACAGCTGCTGTTTGCCTTGCCCCTCTCCTTTTCGAGTGGATAATCCAACTCGAGCCTCCTATCTGGATCTACCTCATGGGCCCGAAGATCTGATCCTTATATTTCTTGTTAACCGTTTTTACTCAGTTCCAGCCCCAGTGAGAGCTTTACTCCAGGCGCTATTTCTCAAACTTTCAGTAGCACGTACAAAGTTGCCTCACCTGCAACTCACAGAGGCTTTGATTCCAATCATTGCAGATATTAGACATTGCCTTCAGGGACCATCTCCTTAATTAAATACGAAGAAAAGTTGGGTTTCAAGGAATCTCTTCTTTCATAATTGTTGGGATTACTTCCATTTCGAGTAGAATCTCTTCACCCAACACTTCTACTCGAAATGGAAGTAATCCCAACAATTATGAAACAAGAGATTCCTTGAAACCCTACTTTTCTTCGTATATATT